ATTGTTTAGGACTTTGTTTTTTTTACAAGTCTCAAAAAACCCCAAAAAAACACGCAAAAAAATCAGTTTTTTAATCACAACCCTGGGAAGTAATGGTCATAGGATGGAATGTCATACACCGGCGAATTCGTCATTAAATTTCCAATCAAATGGCATTTACAGTTTAAAATTTTTCAAATTTTCGAATTTTCAAAAAAATTGATGATGTACCCCCTTATCAAAAATGCAAAAATTGGCCAAAAATCAATTTTTCGAAATATTGATTTTTAAAAATCGGTTTTTGCATCAAATCAAAAATAATTTTTCTAAGCCGATTGGGGATGGGTAGAATAGGTCGCCAGCTGTTCAAAACAGTCACTCTTATGACTATGCGTCTAATTTTGGCCAAGTTACAACAAAAGGATTGTTTAGGACTTTGTTTTTTTTACAAGTCTCAAAAAACCCCAAAAAAACACGCAAAAAAATCAGTTTTTTAATCACAACCCTGGGAAGTAATGGTCATAGGATGGAATGTCATACACCGGCGAATTCGTCATTAAATTTCCAATCAAATGGCATTTACAGTTTAAAATTTTTCAAATTTTCGAATTTTCAAAAAAATTGATGATGTACCCCCTTATCAAAAATGCAAAAATTGGTCAAAAATCAATTTTTCGAAATATTGATTTTTAAAAATCGGTTTTTGCATCAAATCAAAAATAATTTTTCTAAGCCGATTGGGGATGGGTAGAATAGGTCGCCAGCTGTTCAAAGCAGTCACTCTTATGACTATGCGTCTAATTTTGGCCAAGTTACAACAAAAGGATTGTTTAGGACTTTGTTTTTTTTACAAGTCTCAAAAAACCCCAAAAAAACACGCAAAAAAATCAGTTTTTTAATCACAACCCTGGGAAGTAATGGTCATAGGATGGAATGTCATACACCGGCGAATTCGTCATTAAATTTCCAATCAAATGGCATTTACAGTTTAAAATTTTTCAAATTTCGAATTTTCAAAAAAATTGATGATGTACCCCCTTATCAAAAATGCAAAAATTGGCCAAAAATCAATTTTTCGAAATATTGATTTTTAAAAATCGGTTTTTGCATCAAATCAAAAATAATTTTTCTAAACCGATTGGGGATGGGTAGTATAGGTCGCCAGCTGTTCAAAACAGTCACTCTTATGACTATGCGTCTACTTTTGGCCAAGTTACAACAAAAGGACTAATTAAGACTTTGTTTTTTTTACAAGTCTCAAAAAACCCCAAAAAAACACGCAAAAAAATCAGTTTTTTAATCACAACCCTGGGAAGTAATGGTCATAGGATGGAATGTCATACACCGGCGAATTCGTCATTAAATTTCCAATCAAATGGCATTTACAGTTTAAAATTTTTCAAATTTTCGAATTTTCAAAAAAATTGATGATGTACCCCCTTATCAAAAATGCAAAAATTGGCCAAAAATCAATTTTTCGAAATATTGATTTTTAAAAATCGGTTTTTGCATCAAATCAAAAATAATTTTTCTAAGCCGATTGGGGATGGGTAGAATAGGTCGCCAGCTGTTCAAAACAGTCACTCTTATGACTATGCGTCTAATTTTGGCCAAGTTACAACAAAAGGATTGTTTAGGACTTTGTTTTTTTACAAGTCTCAAAAAACCCCAAAAAAACACGCAAAAAAATCAGTTTTTTAATCACAACCCTGGGAAGTAATGGTCATAGGATGGAATGTCATACACCGGCGAATTCGTCATTAAATTTCCAATCAAATGGCATTTACAGTTTAAAATTTTTCAAATTTTCGAATTTTCAAAAAAATTGATGATGTACCCCCTTATCAAAAATGCAAAAATTGGCCAAAAATCAATTTTTCGAAATATTGATTTTTAAAAATCGGTTTTTGCATCAAATCAAAAATAATTTTTCTAAGCCGATTGGGGATGGGTAGAATAGGTCGCCAGCTGTTCAAAACAGTCACTCTTATGACTATGCGTCTAATTTTGGCCAAGTTACAACAAAAGGATTGTTTAGGACTTTGTTTTTTTTACAAGTCTCAAAAAACCCCAAAAAAACACGCAAAAAAATCAGTTTTTTAATCACAACCCTGGGAAGTAATGGTCATAGGATGGAATGTCATACACCGGCGAATTCGTCATTAAATTTCCAATCAAATGGCATTTACAGTTTAAAATTTTTCAAATTTTCGAATTTTCAAAAAAATTGATGATGTACCCCCTTATCAAAAATGCAAAAATTGGCCAAAAATCAATTTTTCGAAATATTGATTTTTAAAAATCGGTTTTTGCATCAAATCAAAAATAATTTTTCTAAGCCGATTGGGGATGGGTAGAATAGGTCGCCAGCTGTTCAAAACAGTCACTCTTATGACTATGCGTCTAATTTTGGCCAAGTTACAACAAAAGGATTGTTTAGGACTTTGTTTTTTTTACAAGTCTCAAAAAACCCCAAAAAACACGCAAAAAAATCAGTTTTTTAATCACAACCCTGGGAAGTAATGGTCATAGGATGGAATGTCATACACCGGCGAATTCGTCATTAAATTTCCAATCAAATGGCATTTACAGTTTAAAATTTTTCAAATTTTCGAATTTTCAAAAAAATTGATGATGTACCCCCTTATCAAAAATGCAAAAATTGGCCAAAAATCAATTTTTCGAAATATTGATTTTTAAAAATCGGTTTTTGCATCAAATCAAAAATAATTTTTCTAAGCCGGTTGGGGATGGGTAGAATAGGTCGCCAGCTGTTCAAAACAGTCACTCTTATGACTATGCGTCTAATTTTGGCCAAGTTACAACAAAAGGATTGTTTAGGACTTGGTTTTTTTTACAAGTCTCAAAAAACCCCAAAAAAACACGCAAAAAAATCAGTTTTTTAATCACAACCCTGGGAAGTAATGGTCATAGGATGGAATGTCATACACCGGCGAATTCGTCATTAAATTTCCAATCAAATGGCACTTACAGTTTAAAATTTTTCAAATTTTCGAATTTTCAAAAAAATTGATGATGTACCCCCTTATCAAAAATGCAAAAATTGGCCAAAAATCAATTTTTCGAAATATTGATTTTTAAAAATCGGTTTTTGCATCAAATCAAAAATAATTTTTCTAAACCGATTGGGGATGGGTAGTATAAGTCGCCAGCTGTTCAAAACAGTCACTCTTATGACTATGCGTCTAATTTTGGCCAAGTTACAACAAAAGGATTGTTTAGGACTTTGTTTTTTTTACAAGTCTCAAAAAACCCCAAAAAAACACGCAAAAAAATCAGTTTTTTAATCACAACCCTGGGAAATAATGGTCATAGGATGGAATGTCATACACCGGCGAATTCGTCATTAAATTTCCAATCAAATGGCATTTACAGTTTAAAATTTTTCAAATTTTCGAATTTTCAAAAAAATTGATGATGTACCCCCCTTATCAAAAATGCAAAAATTGGCCAAAAATCAATTTTTCGAAATATTGATTTTTAAAAATCGGTTTTTGCATCAAATCAAAAATAATTTTTCTAAACCGATTGGGGATGGGTAGTATAAGTCGCCAGCTGTTCAAAACAGTCACTCTTATGACTATGCGTCTAATTTTGGCCAAGTTACAACAAAAGGATTGTTTAGGACTTTGTTTTTTTTACAAGTCTCAAAAAACCCCAAAAAAACACGCAAAAAAATCAGTTTTTTAATCACAACCCTGGGAAGTAATGGTCATAGGATGGAATGTCATACACCGGCGAATTCGTCATTAAATTTCCAATCAAATGGCATTTACAGTTTAAAATTTTTCAAATTTTCGAATTTTCAAAAAAATTGATGATGTACCCCCTTATCAAAAATGCCAAAATTGGCCAAAAATCAATTTTTCGAAATATTGATTTTTAAAAATCGGTTTTTGCATCAAATCAAAAATAATTTTTCTAAACCGATTGGGGATGGGTAGTATAAGTCGCCAGCTGTTCAAAACAGTCACTCTTATGACTATGCGTCTAATTTTGGCCAAGTTACAACAAAAGGATTGTTTAGGACTTTGTTTTTTTTACAAGTCTCAAAAAACCCCAAAAAAACACGCAAAAAAATCAGTTTTTTAATCACAACCCTGGGAAGTAATGGTCATAGGATGGAATGTCATACACCGGCGAATTCGTCATTAAATTTCCAATCAAATGGCATTTACAGTTTAAAATTTTTCAAATTTTCGAATTTTCAAAAAAATTGATGATGTACCCCCTTATCAAAAATGCAAAAATTGGCCAAAAATCAATTTTTCGAAATATTGATTTTTAAAAATCGGTTTTTGCATCAAATCAAAAATAATTTTTCTAAGCCGATTGGGGATAGGTAGTATAGGTCGCCAGCTGTTCAAAACAGTCACTCTTATGACTATGCGTCTAATTTTGGCTAAGTTACAACAAAATAAATCTTTAGGACTTTGTTTTTTTACAAGTGGTGTGCGTATTGTTTTGACGAAGTTACAACAGAAAAGAATGTGAAGAATTCATTTATGTATTGTAGTAAAATGTTTTATTTTTTTTCCTAGAAATCTCCTCATCAAAAGATTGAGAAGAATCGGAAACAAGAGCACCAAAGACGGCAGGTGGCACTGCAGGTGGGTGGGCCGGCGCAGTTTATTGAACCTTCCACTGGCCAATTGAGATATTAGTGGCTCTGCCATCGGTGATTCGGAGCACCACCCCCTGGGCCCCCCACCTGCCCCTTAACACCCTGGAGCCCCCTAAGCCTATAGGCGCCCACCCATTAACCCTTAACTGGTCGGCTGGCAAGCCAAGTTGCAATTTGGCCAACACTCATTCATTATGTCTCACAGTTATTTGGACCGGCTCGTTTGCAATTGGATTCAATTTAGTTACGAGTCCGCTGATGGGATCGGCCCCACCCCCTTCGCCTGCCACTCCCCCTTTTGTAGTGGTAGCTTGGGGAAAGGGAAAGGGGCCAAAACGTCCGAGACACGAACCACGCCAAAATCGATATGACTCGATTAACGTGCTTGGATCGTCTTCGTCTTCGTCGTCGTCGTCGTCATCGTCGTCGGTGGTGCTATTGATGCCGGTGGTTTGGAGCTGCAGCCTGAACTTGTGCGATTTGGAGCCGATCTGCAGCCGCCGCCCCAAGCTGCTGCTGGATGTTGGTGGCGCCACACCAAGGCCGATCGAGAAGTTCCCGAAACTGTATAGAAACTTCCATTGCTCAACCAGCGCCAAATTGAACCTAGCTCACTATAATATATGTAATTAATATAATACAAACATTATTTATAAGTATGAAGAAATAAACTGTAGATAAACTACACACACAAAAACCTTGTTTAAGAACGTTAATTCCAAATTTAATGGTCTTAAACAAATTCACTTGAAGTGCAAATAAAAATAACCAGAACGTTTAAAAATTAAAGACATCCTAAGATAGTAAGTTTCGGTTAAATAAAATGTATTTAAATCAAATAAGAACTGTTTTAAATTTAATATTTTCAAAATTTATTAAAGTATTTAATACTAAATCGTGCAATTTAATACGCATTGTATTTAAAATTATGATTTAATATTTAATTGAAATATTAGGTATACAATTTACTATTCCATTTTTTGTATCAGTGAACCTGTTATAGCCGAGTCCAAAAATTAAATTGATTTATTCTTTTGTTTAGGAATATCCACCAAATTAATGACAGACTTAGGTAACCGATAAAATCGTTACGAATATTCTTGAATTTTGCATAGGATGTCAAGGCAGGTGCTCAATTCGAACTCATGGATCCCCCCTCGAGATCGTATAGTCTGGAGCCAGACTCCCAGATCGGGCAGCTACTTCTACTTTGCGTGGTCGCGTTCATCATTTTGGTGTCTTGTTTTGTGGGTTTCATTGCTCTCGAGGCCCCCAAAACGATCGAAACCAAACCAAACCAAACCAAGCCAAACCGAGCCGAGCCGAGCCAAGCCGATCCGATCCTCCGTTGTTAAATAGCTGGGCGGAACTTGATGAGATGATGGGCAATTATCTGCGGGAGGTCCCGCACACACAACACACAGGGGCGTAGGAGGGCGTGCAGGGGGGCTGGCAACAAACTATGTCTTACAACGTTGTGTTTTTTGTTGCCTTTATATTTTCTTTTGTTTTTGTTTTTTTTTTTTTTTTTTTTTTTTTTTTTTTTTTTTTTTTTTTTTTGGCCTCGGCAATTGCGATTTTGTGGTTGCGTTGCGCATGCGCGCCAGCTTCAGCGCCATCGCCATCAACGCCTCACGATTTCAATGAGTGCGAGCGGGAGGGCTAGAAGAGCGAGGGAGATGGCAAGACGGGGGGAGGAGGGACTGGGCCCCCCAGTCGGTGCGAAAGAGAGGGGCACACACACGCTGACTGCTTTTTAGAGGGAGAAAGACACGCGTGCGCACTAACAAGCGACGACAGCTGAGATCAGTGTATGTTTGGGGAGGTGGGGGGTGGTTTCGCCTTATAAGGGGGCTCCGGGGGGAGAGAGGTGGTGCATCAGGGGAGGTGGTGCTGGCATCTGGGCAGCAGCGGCAGCCAATCATTGCCTCAAGGCCAATTTGGGGCAACGAAAGAGTTGCAGTTGCGTAGATCCATTTAGTCAGCCAGAGATGACAAGGATCCATTTGGAAAACAGCAAACAGGGATCCAGATAGCCAGCCACAATAATAACTTACAGCCGCTGTTTCTAAAACAATCATCTGCAAGTATATAGCAAAACAAACATATAACAGATCAAGTATGTATTTAATTTAAATGAAATAAAAATAATTGACATTCTAAATATTTTATTCGTTTTCAGAAATACACTTTTCTCCACTTTTTGAGACATTTACTTTTCTTTAAATTAAATAAACTAAATAAATCCTTTTTAAATATTCTAAACATATTATGTTGTTATTAAAAATGTTGAAATTAAATTAAATAGTAAATTTAATTTTTTTAAATTGTAATTTTTAAAATAATATAAATCAAATCACAAATATTCTTCATACTTTTTAACACACATTGATGTTAGAAAAATCTTTGGTATAACATTATTCGTTTATTATATTTTAATCTAATCTTAGTTTCTGGATACAAAACATGAACAAGAAAAAAAATGGTGTTGTGGCCCCAATGTTTCTAAAAACATATTAAAACATATTAAGAAAAGTCCAAAAAGTTAATACTATTGCTTATTATTTAATCTTATCAATAACTTTTTCTTTGGGAATGTGTAATATTTGTTTATTTTTCTACGAGTGTATAAGTTAAAGACTTTTTCAAAAACCTAATGTAGATCTCTGCTTTAAAAGGGCCAAATGGTCATCACTATGGGCTGGAGGGACCACCATCGTGTGGTGGTGGTGCTATTGGTGGTGGTGCCTATGCCGGCGTCCCTGCGGTGGCGGCTCTGACGGCTCTGGCGGCCAAACAAACACGATGAGGCGTTGTTGGCGTCAGGGAAACTGAAAATACTGAATACTGAAACTGCAGACGGGCCGAAAGTCCCGCTTCTGCCAACCGGCGACGCCCTGGCGACTCGAAAGCGGTAGAATCTCCGAAGACGGCTCATCTAGAGTGGCACGAAGGAGATGTGGGGAACTGAAGAATCGGAAAATCGGAGGAATCGGGGTGACCGGGAATTGGGAATCGGGAATGGAGAATGGGGAGTCGAGGCTGACACGCTGGCATTCGATAATTGCCTTGGAAAGTATGCGCCTCTCTCGATTGCAGTCGCTGTCTTCTGGCACAGTCTTCTGGCGCATTCTTCTGGCACAGTCCTCTGGCCCAGTCTTTCGCTTGATTCTTCTGTCTTTCAGTCTCGCACTCGCTTCGATTGGCTGTCCGTTTGGAGAATCACTCAACCGGGGTATTGAGTTGAGGGGGGTTTGGTGCACAAAAGGGGGGGCAAATTACTCTCCACCGAATCCATTGGCAATTAATTACTTTTGCCCAGCACACAGCAATAGCTGTGAGAAATGATTTCATTTTGCGGCAGCCGCTAATTGGTCACAAAAGTCGCGAGTCTCGAGTCGCGAGTCTGAAGTCGAGAGTTGGAGATGAAAAAAACAAAAAAAATGGGGAGAATAGAGTGATCTTCATTGCAGATCTTAACCGTTCCTGTAGCAAATATCGATCACTAATGGTTGAGCTTCATGAGATGATTTTAATGAGTAGCTCAGATAAGAGGCAAAAGTCGATGAGGGTAACAACTATAAAACTATCCGTGCTTAAACTATAATTCTGAAATATTTCTAAGCCTCGATTTTGGGCAAACAAAACAAATTGGCATTATATTAAAAACATTTTAGTAACATTTATAATAAGCGTCTTAACTATTCAAAAACATTTTTTTTCAGTAACATGTCATTCTTCAAAAATGTTTTACCGAGCCGCTTTGATCATTATTGCCTCTATTTGGAATAGATATGAACTTAATAATAGACTTAATAATTAAATAATAATAATAATTTAAGGGCCAACAAACACGTATATTTTTTTCATTTAATAATGTTTGATTTTAAAAATTAGTTAATTTCACAGAAACAAACATTACTGCTTATCAATTTTTTTTCTACACCTAGAAATTTTTAAATTAAAATATTGTAACCAAGCAATTACCATGAGATCACAATTATTGAGATGTCGATCCGTGTAACAGTAATTACCAAACTTTGATGCTGCGATCTGAAAATGTCAATCCAATTGCCCCGATAGATGTTAAAAAAGGCACAAAAGATCGAGGGGTTCGACCCGGCCACATCCTTTCAGTCCTTGAGGATTATCCCTAACCACCGTGGCCGTATCCTGATCCCTTATCCTGGCTTATCGGGGATCTGCTGTGCAGATTCAACTTAATTAGTGCCCGCCAAGCCACTGGGCCACTCCAGGATGTCAACCCTAACTACTTTGCCTTGCCCCGCCTCACTTTACTTTTCTTTTTCGCTATTAAGCTGGAGTTGGAGATGAAGATGGAGATGGAGCTGGAGCTGGAGATTCGGGAGCTAAAGAAATGGCTTGCCATTTCAATAAGAGGAATGATGAATGACAGTCGCAGATTCGCTGATTCGTTGATTCGCTGATTCTGGTTACCCCGAAAGCCGGAAGCCAAGGCAGTTGGCCGTGTGACGGCTAGTGATGCATGCATCCCACTCCGAAGGCATCGCCATCGAAATTGCAGAAAGGACAGCCAGGACATGTACACTGGGCAAAATTGGGGCACAAAATATTTGGATGGTCTCCTTTAAAAGACAGTTACATACTAAAAATAATTATTTATCATTTCCAACGACATATATTTTCAATCAAAAATAAATTGGTTTTGAAAAAATGATTTCTTAGGGCTCTTCTCAATTTTATCAAAATCTATTTGTTTTATAAAAATGATTGTAATCAAGAATATGTTAAAATAAATAAATAAAAAAATATTTATTTACGAAAAATTTCTTTGCTGTAACATATGCTCAATATAATAATTATCTTATTCAGGGCTCCTATCCTTTTTAATGAAATCTATTTGTTCTGAACCGAAACAAATATTCTTACACCGAATTTACACTTAATCAAAAAACAACGTTAAGTTTTTTAAATTCTAAATTAAATTTATACACTTTTAAGGAGTTTTTACTTATTTTTTTTAAGGAAAAGGCTATGCCGTAAAATATTTTTCTGTGCATTCTCATCCATTTCGGGCTGCCTCGAGTGCGTGATTGCTATCAACAGCTTGATTTTAATTTCACCTCTCTTTCGCTTTCGGTAAACAAAGGCCTGTCCTTGTGTTTGTTTTTGTTGTTCGGCTTGCTGTGTTTTTCCAACTGTTTTGCCAGCGATTTGAGTCCTGCGTCCTGTATTCTGTGATCTGTGTCCTGTGCTATGTGCTCTGTGTTCTGTGTTCTGTATTTCGCATTCTGCATTCTGCATTCGGCGTCCTGCAAGGCACTTCCTTCTGGCGGCGTTCAGCGGAGCGGATGAGCCGCATAGTTGGCCAGCAAGGTGGAAAAATCAGAGCGCCAGGACACAAGGACTGAGGACTGACGACTGAGGACTAAGGACTTAGGACTAAAGACTTAGGATGCAGGATATAGGATATGCGGACGGGACTAAGGCAATCTGTGCCGCATAGTTGCTGCACAATGAGCTAGCCGAGGCTCAGCCCAAGGATAATTACTTTTGTGCAATTATGCGATTAGTTTATAGGCCAATAAGTTTGTAAGAATCCTGCCTGCCCGGCATAATTGATGCGCTTAGAAGCGGTTAACAATACTGGCAAAACGGAAGTGCCACACGGAAAAAAAAAACATTTCTAGACATTACCTTTGACATTTTCAACCTTATTTATCGAGGAAATCTAAGAACTGTTTAACTGTTGTTGGACTACACATTAAGTTTTTCTACTGTTTATATTTTTCCATTTTTTTTTTTTTGCAAATTGTCCCTAAAGCAGCGCAACATGTCTAAACATTTATCTTTGAATTAAGCTACATATTTAAAAAGGATTTGTATCAATGAATTATAAGTTATTTGATCAATGCACAATATTATAATATTTTAGACGCTAGCTATTCTGTTTTGTGTAAATTTAGCTTATTGGGTTCACATATATTTCATAAGTAATTTGTTCATACCTAAATAATTATTTATTTCAAACACTAGTTCTCTATTTGGTTCATGGTTCATTTTAGCAGTACATTTAAGTTTTTTACTGCAGATCTTATGACTCATGCAGATATAGTCTTGGCCATCGATCTCATCCTCATCCTCATCCACATCAACATCTGCACTGATTTAATCAGCAAACTCGAGCGAGACTAAAGCACAAGTCGTCCATCGCTCAACCATCAATAAACCGCTATCAAAATTGGCTTA